AATTCTGTAATGGAGTAATTGTTTAACTCTAGAAAGCACATAAAAGAATATTGTCTCCCTTAGGATACCCTTTAACTACCGTCTGTGGTGAAAGGTATTTCTCCCAGATACTTGCTTAAAGCTTTGTGGCTCTGTAATTATTCATGTATTATAATTGCTTTCTCTCCCTTTAGGATAAACCCTTTTGGTAAGTTGGCCTTTATGAGATCTCTTAAGTGTATAAGTTCTGAATTCCACCTGAGTTATTTTTTTGATATAACTGGTGCTTTTTTGATGTTTTTTTTTTTTTTTTACTTAAACGAGGAAGGAGACAGTTCTAATTTTGGATGGACAGACTTGGTCAGTCTAGGAGACAGATAAATGATTAGGAATTGATAGAATCTGAGTTGTTTAAGTCCTTTTTTAGTATTTTGGCCTTTGAATTTTTTTCCACAGTGAAGACTTTGCAAAGGTTCTCTGGAAAACAGGGAAGCTTAGGGCTATGGATACAAAGATTTAAATCCTTTCATTAAATATACAATACATGGGAAGGTGGGGAGGCAGACACTTCTGTCTTTTATATTAAATCCTAGAGACAGTCTGGCCAGTGTGGTTCACTGGTTGAGCGTTGACCCATGCACTAAGAGGTCACCAGTTCCATTCCCGGTCAGGGCACATGCCCAGGTTGTGGGCCAAATCCCCAGTGAGGAGAATGCAGGAGACGGCCAATCAATGTTCTCTCTCTCGTCGATGTTTCTGTCTCTCTCTCTCTCCCTTCCTCTCTCTCTAAAACCAACAAAGGGAAAAAAAAATCCAAGAACAAGAAATATAGGCCCTCTAATTCAGATTCTAAAAACTTAGGTGTCCTATTAGGCTGTCCCTTTTGACTTAGTACTTTTTTTTTTTAAATACAAAGAGATCTTTTTTAAAATGTTTCTTTCTTAGTATGGTATTGATGGCTAGAACTGAGTTTTAGTTCCAAGACAGCAGAGAACAATATCCTGGTTCATTTGGCTGTAAATGTTTGGATTTTCAAATGAAAAGGTGGAATTTTGTGAAGAAGATAAGAGTTACACAGAGTGAAGAATAAAACATTTTAAGGTATCTTTTCCTAAAATGAAAGCTATGCAAAAGCAAAGTTTTAATTGTGTCTTTTGCCATTCAATCAGCAAGTTGTAGGGGTGGGTAAAGGAAGTATGTTCATGAACTAAAACCAGAAGTGTGTCAGATGCAGAGGGGCTTGGTTATGGTTGAGGAACCCTAAGCAGAGAGAGTGGGTTCTAGGGCCCTGAAAGGGTATGTGCATAGTTATCCAAAAAAGGGTGGCTGCTGTAAATCTGTAGGATCTGGGAAACCACAAACATCCATTGGTTCTTCTTTTGCTTTTTATTCTTCAGATCACTTTAAACAAAGACTCTTAAAACACCTTTGCACTGGGGACAGGGCATAGGTATCATTTTATAGGTAGGTAAATGGGAACCTCTGAAAATTTGGAAGCTAAGTGACATAATTTCATTAGTGCTTTATGAAGGTGATCAGCAGCAGAATGGAGGGTTGGAGGGCAGGTAGAATTGAAGACAGGAAGGTAAGATAATAGGCTAGCACAATGGACCCTAGTTTCACTTTTTATCCTCATGAAATTTAGAAGACCATTACCAGTTTTGCAGCCAGAGTGATGGTCACATGATCAGGTGAGATAATGTCATAGGAACGTATTTTGTAAGTTGTAAATATGAGGTTTGTTACTGTAGTGGTGATATTCTGTTCCTTTCATAGGAAGTGTTTTCTGTTCTCCCGCTTATTTGAAGCTGGTCTAGAAGCTGGATTATCTAGGATCTGTGTTGGGCTCTAAGAGTATGTAACCTTGGGAAAATCACTTCTTGGTTTTCCTCATCAGAAAAAAGAGGTATAATTCTTCTTTAAAATTATTTCACACTTATAGCTTCTAATAGACTTTAGGGGAGGGCTATAAGCAAAATGATTATTATTTTTTAAATATATTATTTTTTTGAGAGAGGGGGAGATAGAAACATGGATTAGCTGCCTTCCACACACCCTCTACTGGGGATAGAACCAGCTACCTCTTGGTGCATGGGTTGATACTCAAATACTGGGCCATACTGGCCTAGCTGATTATTTTGATTCTAATCGTGAATGGCAGTCAGCTGTTTTAATCCCACTGGTATTGTTTTGTCTGTGTTGGTACCTTTGAAGATGAAGTGAGACAGGATATAAGTTAAAAAAAAGTCCACTCTACTATGATATTTAAATATTTATTTAAGTTTAAAAATAATTTTCATGGCACCAATGAGTTTATGCTAACTACATACTGAATATGTAGAAAAAAGTACATTGCTTTGAAGGAAAATGTAACTTAGAATTTTTGGCACACGAAAGGTTAACCACTATATATTTTTTAATGAAACTAAGAAATTCACATTTGCAGGTAGTTTACCCTCTACTGCTTAAAGATGCAGTACTAAGAGTTTTATTTCCTCTGACAGATGAAGCTATGGAAATCATTGCTTTTTTCTACAGTGAGATCAAACTAATTGAGAGAAAATGGGAGACATAGTGGAACACAGTAAAATCAGGTTAAAAACTTGAACAATTTTTAATGATGAGGAGATAACAAAAAAGACTAGTCACCAACAAAGGAGGGCTGTTATTCAAGCACTATTTGAAAAGCAAATTGAAGGAAACTTTTCTATCTGTATTTTCTGGGATAAGCCCTGGAAAAAAAAATAACCTGAAAGTTTCTATTCAGAGAGAAAAATCCAGCTTTTGGAATTGGTATGGACTATTGTACTGTTAGAACTCTAGACAAGTAACGAACCAGGAAATGGGATACTGCATCTTTCTTTAATGTGACTATGAATGGTCAGTGTCGAGACTATCACTCACTGCATAAAAACACCATATTCTACAGACTGAGGTAGGAACACTACACTAAAAGGTAATCTGCTATGTTGCATAAGACAGTAGATATCCAGGTTAAAACCAGCCCCCTATCTCCTGACAGCCTTTTCATCTCCAAGTCTACTTTTTTCACTTTAGTTCTGTACTAAATAAAGCTTTTCCTGTGTAGATGGCAAGTGGCAGTGGCTAGTTGATTCTAAGTGATCCCTAATCTTTACTAAGATCTCCCTCAATTTGTCTTGTCACTTGGTAAATAGATGTTTATAATTCTGCCCAAATTGTTGCTGGTATGGAAATGATCAGACAATCTGCCTTTCGTTCTTAGATTCTGGCCGTGTTTTCACATTCCAGTACTTGGTCTTGCTCATCTTGGCACCAGACACCTCTTTGCTGGTTGGTTGTGGGAGCACCCTTTAAGCAAGCAACCCTAGTGCCTCCACTGGGAAATGGTCCTGGATCTTTAGTACATGTCAGGAATTGGAACAGAGCGGACTCTCTTTTGATAACATCAGGGTAAGGAGCAGTTTTATTGTATAGGTCAGGGTTGGCAAATTAATGGCTTATGGGCCAAATTCAGCTCACTCTGTTAATAAAAAGATGTATTGGAACACAGCCATGCTCCTTTATTTATGTATTGGCTGTTTTTGTGCTACGATGGTAGAGTTCAATAGTTGCCGTAGAGTATGGCCCACAAAACCAAAAAAAAAAAAAAAAATTTACTATCTGGCACCTTGCAGAAGTTTGCCACCCCTGGTCTAGATGAAAGAGCATTTAAAATTATGTACCCCTCCACCTCCCCTCCAAAAGAAAAACTCCATTTATTCCAAGGCTGTTGCATTCTATACATGGACATGGTTCTGTCATCTCAGGACAAACTAGGGGTGAACAAATCTAAAAGTGACTCATTCTGTTCTGCATTTGGGGCTGCACAACATCATAAGGTGTTAGCAGTTGCTCCCTTGTTGTGTAGGTCCCAGGGACTGTCCACTGACTATCCTTAAATAAGTCCACAGGCCCCAGATGACTTAGAAATCTCTCCCTGAGATGAAAACAAGATCTTGTGTGTGTGTTTATAATAGCTACTGGGCCTCGGACCAGACCCCACTCCTGCGCTTCTGCACTGCCTCCACCACTTCCTCAGCAAGGGTGGCAAGTGCGGTTTCCTACTTTTATTTTCCTGATGCAGAGGATGACCCTAGGGGGCAGTATTTCTACACCTAAGTGTTGGGCTCTGCCACATTCACCTTCTTTCTTGGTAGGCATCTCTTAGAATTCCTATTTAAAGAGATTCTTTTCCTGGTCCCTTCCAAGGCTGTTTGTTGATCTTGGAATTCTATTTTCTGAAGCTTTTTATTCTCAGGATCAGTTTCTTTCTTGCATCATTTAGTTCATCAGGCTCTATTTTCTTAATCCATAAAGTAAAAACAAAATATGAATTGATAAGAAAATAACATTTTGTTGTTAAAATAGAAATTGAAATAGTCTTTTTTTTTTTTTTTCAAGGGGTTGTACAAAATAAGCACGGCTCTCTGAATCTCAGCAGTCTCCCAGGTACCTTAGCTCTGGTTTCAGTGAACTACATTTTGTCCAACATTTCTGACAGTCCTATCTCTGGTACCACTGAATTCTTCTAATGCCTGTGGAGCACTATAAGAGTCTTGAGGTTCTTCAGAAAAAAATCACAGAAGTCAGAGTTCATTATACAAAACTGGCGATGCCCACTAGGATCTAGTCTAAGGGGACAGACTTACCCCACCCCTGCTGCTGCTGCTGCTGTAGCGGTGGTCCCTTCAGATGCCCACTCTGCTCAGATTTGAAAAAAAAGAAACACAAAAAAACAAAAGGAAAAGAAAATCCAACTCAGACCATCATAAGAAGCAACTTTCCATTTAATCATTCTACATGGATGTTTACTTTTTCAAAAGCTCTGTCTGGCAAGAAAACTTAGACAGTCTCTACTGTCCAGACCCCTGGTCTGCCCCACTGAGGCTGCAACGATGAGCCTCCTGGAGCCCCGCAGGCGAGCTCCTGCAGAATACACGACAATTCTCTAGTCTTCAGCTAGTGTCCCATCTGCTAGGTGACACTACTGTGATAATCAGTAATAAAATAAATTATTTTTATTTGATACTTTCAAAATAATACACATCTATGAAAAATCAAAATTCAAAACCAAAAGTTATCCTGCAAATTGGGAGAATGAGACAGAGTCGCCGAGCCTTTCTTGAGAGAACCTCTGAAGAAAATGAGCTTTCCCAGTTTGTTTGGACAGGGCATGAGCCTATCCCTTTCTTCTTCTGGGAAACAACCCTCCTAGGCTGTGGACTTGGAGTCATGAGAGGAGGACTTGGTACATGTGCCGATGGTTCCGCGATGGGTCCCATTGCTGGGAATGGGTAGCCGGGCTCCTTGGTCCACCTGGCTAGTTATTAGGAGGAGTCATGCCTTCTCAGGTGTCAATGAGCAGGCTCACCACTGAGCGGATTTTGCAGGCAAACCATCGCCTGAGGGGACAAAAGTATTGATAGTGGAATTGTTCAAATTCGGGGGTCTGGCGGATATCGCGGAAAAAGGCAATGTCTAGGTCAGACTCGGTAAGGATGATCAGGAGTAGGAGCAAAACAAAGAGGAGTCCCATGGTCACAAGGAGCAAACGGAGGACACTTAAAACAAACTTATTCACCTGTTCTTCCTCTGGCTTGCCGTGCCCCTGACATAGGGCCCTCAGCTCTCCCCCAAGGGCCTCCACATCTGCAGCAGTTGGGGTGCTGGCCTCAGACTCCTTCTCCTCCTCGATGCTGCAGGTAGCCCCATTGATCTGCCGGGAAAGCAGCATCAGCTCCAGGCTGTGCTCAGCCACAGGGGTGGGCAGCACACTGTCTGCAGGGCTGTAGGCCTCATCTGCAATCACGGCGACTCGCTCATTGCTGTCTGCCCGGCTGCTTCTCACGTGAGGCAGAAAGGTGTCCCCATGAGAAGAGGAACGCACCGGGGTGGAATGGGCACTGTCCCGAAGGGACTCTAGGCCTGGAAAGGCAAAAGGAACATGAGTAGGCTTGCTGTCCTAGTGCACACCTTTTCTCTTTTTGCTTATGGTTTTGGCCACATTTGTTAAAGATTGTGCCATTCCTGCCTCTGATTTCCTGGGCCTGGTTTTAGCCCCAATTTGAAAGAATCTGAATTGCAGACTATCCCTTGAGAGCTTGGGCCATGGTAGGGAAGCTCAGGTTTGTCTCTTGGGCTGAGGGCCTTGAGAGGCAGGAATGGGGAGGATAAGACTCTCGTGCCTAACTGGGCCTCACCTAATACTGATTCTGGAGCTTAGTGTCCTTTTAACAACCTAGCATGCAACTCCTTGTGCTCATGAGGCCAACTTTTAGATTTCTGCAATTGCTACAGGTCTCTTCCGCCTCCCAGTTCTAGCTGTCCTGACCTTGTGGGATGTGAAAACCCTATCTGTTCTTCCTAAGCACTCTCTGATACAGACAGGGGGAGTAGCCCTGGCCAGCTCCCTCTCTCTTCACCTTAGAATGATCCAGGTCCAGAACAGGCTGACAGCGTCTCTATTTTAGACACTGCAGAGTACAGAGTGGACTCTGAGAAGATCTTGTTGGGTGAGGGGGAAATTCTCTTACATTTGTTAGGAGAAAGGGTCTGTGGCCCCTAACTTTAGCCATTATCTCTCTACTTTCCCAGATGGAACATTTCTCATTCTAGGAAAAACAGCAGCCACCTAGGCCAGAGGATTGGGCTGAGTCACCGAGTGGCTCACATCACAGTGCTGGCTTCTTGTTTCAGGTTCAGCATCTGCATTTCCCACTCCTGGCCATCTTGCTGGTGCCAGAGTGGCTCTCCTTGGCTTTGTGGCCTTCTGTTGCTCTAAAGTTGACCCTGACTGCCCCAGACCGAACCAGATTCCCAGACAGGGAAAGACTTGACCTAACCTGAGCTGATTAGGGAGCTTTCTGGTTCAGGGCTAGCTTCAGAAGCTTGAAGGTCTCCTAAAAGGCTCCTGCCTTCTAGAAGTGTGCTGCATCTTCCCTTGGCTCCCTGGTGGCACAGCCATCTACACCCAGGCAGCCTGCCTACCTCACCTGCTGGAGCCCATCTCAACACAGGCACAGTTAAGGATTCTCCAGAGGAATGAACCCTGAAGTCTGGGTTATGAACAAGAGGTGGGGGCGATGGCAGCCCGTTACCCACCTGTACCATCACCTCACCATTAGTATATTTGCCGAAGCTCTCAACTTCTACTTGCAGAAGCTCCTTATGGTCCTAGCTGTATTTGTTTGTTCCTATGTGAACATCTTATGTTTGTATAACAGTTTAAACTTTTTAAAGCACTTTGATTTTATCTTTCAACAACTCCACGAAGTAGTGAGGGTGAGAGGTTACAGAACTTTCCTAAAGTCATGTAGTTGGTCGTTAATGGTAAAGGCAAGGAGAAAATCCAAGTATCTATTTTATGGTGCTAATGATCATGTAGTTACATGTCCCGGGGAGTGGGACAGGATGAATTAAGTCAACTGCCTGCACCTTTCTTAGATTTAGGTTCTAATTGCCCAAGAAATTGTTGTGCAATAATGTTGTCCTTTGTTCCAGAGCTCTCTATGCTCCTGTGAGCTCTCTGATTTCCCTCGTAGTCCTCCCTGACTTCCCCGAGTGTGTGCGCAGTGTGGGGATTGTGTGCCTAGGACTGTGTAATGGGGCCCTAATCACGCATGGTGTTGGTTCAGCTCCTTTCCCAGCCACTCCTTTTCTCTGGAACCTCAGCACCCCTTGCACAGCTCATCTCACACACTTTCAAGGGGCTGTCCCCTCACAAGGACAGCTCTGACTGCCAGAGCTTTCAAAGTACGACCAGCTTAGCAACCAGAAGTCACTTCAGTGCAAGCTTGGCCTGGCCTACAATTTTGCCCTAAGCTGGGCAAGGAGAGAGGCAAAGGTTGTGGCATCAGAAAGAACAGATCAGGGACACCGGAAGCCACATTATATTGAATTTTTGGTGCTCTCAGTAAACAAGATAATGGATACATAAGCATTTCTAGTAGTGTCTGATAGAATTACTCTGTAAATGTTAGTCTTCTGTTCCCTCAACAGACCTCACCTGTATCATTCCTGTGTCAGGTTAGCCCTCTATAGAACTTCAGATTTCACTGTAAACCACCACCTGCCTCACACCTTCATCAAACCTGTTATTCTGGGAGGATGGGGTGGGTGCTGCGGGTGGGATCTAGGTGAGTGTCACAGCAAAACAGAGGACTGTTTTTTTTTTTTTTACCTTGGAGGTGCTCCGGAAGATTGCCTTGCCCAGAGGCAGCTCCCAGTGGGCTGGGGGGCACAGTGGTCAGGAGCCTACCCTGGAGCCGGGGCCCCATCCTCAGGATGCGCACGCTCAGGGGTCGAAGGCAGTGATTAGTCAACCGGAGCTGAACGTGGACTCTGGTGTGAATCTTAATCAGACTCTTCCCCATGGTGGCCAGGAAAGCAGATACTTCTTCAGTGGAAACCAGCTGATCTCTTCATGGAAACCAGCCAGGCAGGGAGATACCAGAGGGAAATGATGGAAAACCAACTAGGGACAAAGGATTTTTGCCGATCTCAGGCTGTAGTAGCCCTTTCCTGGGCTTGAGAGAAGTCAGCCCCATGAGCCTCAGAGCAGGCTGAGCTGCAGGGAAGGAACAGCTCTGAGAGGCCCCTGTTATCTGGGGACTGGATCCAGGCAGAAGCACTTAGAGCCATAAAAAGTAATGCTTCCCCAGCCTGTAGCTGTTTCCCTGAGCCCGTATAAGGGCCCTTGACCTCTCGGAGGGTGAGGGACAGAGAGGGAGGGGAACAATCTCTGAGGGTATGGGATCAGAGCTGTACCAGAAAGTCCAGGGTGTGGAGCTACAAAGGCTTTGGGCGGAGTGGCTCTGGGGCTGAAAATGCATTGTGTCCCATCCTGGTGGGATGAACCTGGTGTCTTCAGCCTCAGGGTGGATTGGAAGAGGGGACCCGGAGGAGAGAAAGTTACGTTTCTTCAAAAAAGGAGAGGAAAATCATACAATTTTCCTGAGATGAACACCTCAAAAGAAGAGGGATAGTATGAGCCCTACTCAGTCCTGCTCAGCATGATGGGAAGATAGACTCAAGATGTTGTGTCTGGTGATGGTCAGACCTCAGTAATTACATACCTTGCACAGTGATTATACTTGGTAGTTTACAAGGCACCTTCCACATTCACACCTCACTCTCCACTGGGGGCAGCAGGCTCAGAGAGGCTGAGCAGCCTGCCCCAGAAAGTACGTGGCAGAGCTCTTGATTTAAATCTCATCTTGGAATTCCCTACCAGGGCTCTTTGCCTGCCCAGTACGTGCTTTAATCCCCTTAAAGTGCTTCTACATATATCAGCTTCCTTGCAACCCATGGCAAGGAAGGTGTCCCTTTTTAACAAATGGAGCAACCAAGATACTCAGATGATCAAGGCACTTCCTAACCGGAGTCATTCTTCATTTTCATTAACAAGCAGAAAGGACAAAAGGCCTTCCCTCCCCAGCCTTCAAGACAGAAACAGGTTTGAAATAATCCTGCTGGTTGAGATCTGAGGTCCTACAAATCCACCACCATCGGGAATAAAAACAATTTTACACCTGTATCCAGCCTGCAGGGCAAGCTGGGTCAGGGACAAAGCAAGAGGGTGCTATTCCAAGTCTCCTAACAGGGTTAAGTACCCAGAGACAAGAGGTTGCTGGGGGATCTAGTTCTCAACATACACAGGTTTTGTCTCTCCCTCCTCCACAGGGAGGGAAGGGTTGAGAGAGATGGGTATATTGGGTTTCCTAAGACAATGTTAAAGAAGTTAGGTAGCAAGAAGGCAGATTCCTACCACTGAAGTTAAAGGTGGTCGCAGTTACTGGAATGCTTCAAAACCAAGAGTTTTTTTTTTTTTTTATCCTCACCCAAGGACACTTTTTTGCATTTATCTTCAGATAGAGCGGAAGGGAGAGAGGGAAGAAGAAAGAGAGAGAAACATCAATGTGAGAGAGACACATCGAGTAGCTGCCACTCACACGAGCCCAGCCGGGGCTGGGGACAAACTGCAACCGAGGTATGTATCCTTCGTGGGAACCTAACCTGGGACTCTCTGGTCCGCAGGCCGATGCTCTAATCGCTGAGCCAAACTGGCCAGGGCAGAACCAAGAGTTTTTATTTTTTGGTTAACTGCCTCAGCTACCCTGATCATTTATGCTGTGGCAGTTGGTCAGATCTGGAAAATAAGTGAAAAGCCTCTTGATGGAAAGCAATTTCAGAACTGCATGGAACCTGGTAGATCCCACACACAGCATTTCCCAAAAGGTCTACCCCAGATACTCTCAGGTCTACAACCCACTCCTGGATTACAGCTCAGCAGGGCTGGATGGGATTCCCTTTCCCCTGACAGCCAGCTGGTGTTCCCATGTACTGGGTGAAACCTGCTGCTGTCTCTAATGCAAATTCACTTCTTTTCATGGTCCCTGAGAGGGACAGGTCCAAGTTACAATGTGGAAAAACTTGTGGTCATCTCCAGAGCTCATGCTTACCTTCCATGATGGAGATGTGAACAGCTCTTCTCCGGGTCCTGGGGACACTGCTCAGCCTTGGGCCATGGGTTATGGAGGGACAGCTGCGGCTGGGAACCATCCCAGCTCTGAGGTTAAAGAAAAAGAACACTGTTAGCTCAGTGCATGGAGCTGTGGTCAGGACTCACAGTTGAGTAGTGGCTACAAGAATTGCCTGGCAGTTTTTTTTTTCCAAAAAATTTTAATGCCTGCCTTTGGCCTTTAGTCCCTGGATCCCAGTCAGAGACAACTGCTGTAAACTCATCCACCTCCCTACATCCCAGAACCACTGAACCTTGCTTTAGTGTGGCAGCGGTGCAGTGGTCTCGGGCAGGATGGTCAGGGAGCAGTGCCCCAGGAGGATCAGTGCTCCCAAAGATGGATATGCAGCCTCCCCTGACTTCCAGCAGGAGGCGGCTGGTGGCAGGGGCCTGTGTGTGAAGGGGCAGGTAGTAATGCTCCCATTTCCAGAGGTCAGGCTTGACAAACCCAAGCTCTCTTGGCCAATCATATTCTTTCTGGGTCTCATCGGGCTCTAGAAAATGGGTTTCTGGAAATGTATGCATGAAGCATGGATTGCAAAACTAGTTTACATGCAGTAAGACTGGTGTAGGGCTATCCCTGGCTTTCTGTAATGAACTGATTCCACAACCAATGAAATCTTGCTGCTTGGACATGTCCTCCATGTTGTATGACCTATTTCAGGGCTTGGGAGGACAGCAGAGAATTACTCAGGAAGGTGGCTCCTGGATCTGACGTAGTGTCTGCAGTAGCCCACTGTCCCTCGTTCTCCATCCAGACTCAGGGGTAACAGGGTCAGATGGTTTCCCACGCCTTTGGCCGAGATGAGTCTCTTCACCCCTCCTGCCCTGTTCTCCTGCCCTGTTTGGGAGCCATTGTGGCCAGAATCTTCACATTACTCAAACTGCTGGCTCTTCTGAGATTCCAGGATCTGAGCTGGAACTGCTTTTAGGGGAAGCCCCTGGCAGCCTACCTGTGGATTTCCGGTGGCTCCCTTTTGATCTTGGCACTTGACTCCATTACTTCCTTTGCAACTCGGCCACTGTAAACAGTATAATAAAACAGTAAGAAATGAGACAGTGTTCCAGGACGGGCTCCTCTCCAAGATCTCAGATTACTTTGGCTGAACTGGGAAATGGCCTCTGTGGCCTACTCCTTCCCAATGTTTAGGCCACTGAGGAGAGCTTGCTTGCTGGGTAAAGTTCTGAGGTGTCCCAACAGCTGATCTTAGAGAGCTCGCTATTTGGAGTCTTTGGGATCTTTCATTTTCATTTAGGAATGATTGCTCATTGTCCAGCATGTTCCAAAAATATTGCAAAAAAGGGAATCTTTAGACAGACATGAGAAGAATGACTGTTACAGCTTTTATTGTGCTGCTGTTGTAAGGGCAGGACGAGAAGGTACTCATTAAAAACCCTACAGACACAGCTGCAGGGAAGGAAAGAACATTCAAAGGGTTAGGAGACAGAATTTGATGGGAACTTCGGGTTTTTCTGGAGGTTCCCAGTTTCTTTGTTCTCAAGGACAAGGACCACTGAGCCACTGTTCTGGAGAGAAGGGCATGAAAATAGGTTCATAATGGTTACTTACTGTCACTATTTACCTGTATCGGAACCGGCTCCCTTTAAAGAATAAATTGCTGCTGGACACTGTGCGGACTTGGCTTGACTTCTCCAGCCTGCAGCAAGGCAAAGTCCAGTGTGACAGACGGCCCGTGGCTGCCTCACAGGCGAACACAGCGCTCCCGCTCCTTCCACAGACAACTTGAAGAAACCCCTCAGGAAGAGACCCTTCACAGCCCTGCTTGTCTTGGACTCTCCTTTAGGGCTGAGGGCTGTTGAAACCCACTTTCATGTCAGGAGAGTGAGGGCTTCCCAGGAGTGTTTCCAGGGCTCACCAGGGAGACCGAGAGAGTCAATGTTGGGGATGATGGGCTGGGGGAATAACAATGCCATCCACTGACTTTCAGCTAGGCCGCTTATTGGCAGTGTGACCTTGGGCAAATTTTTTTCTCTTTAGCCTCAGTCTTCTTATCTACAAAATAATGGAGCTGAGACTAACTGTCCAGTCCTAGCATTTAGTAATTTGTGTTCATGTCGTTGGTGGTGAAGAGAGAGAGGCTGCCTTCTTATTCCATCTCCTTGGAGAGTCCTAAAGTATATTATCATATTAAAGACTGAGAAATCATGAAAGGAAGCAGCTAGCTTAGTTTTAATAAAAGTTCCATCGTTTATTTGAACTTGGAACCATTCTCCCTTCCCAAGAATGCCGATTAACCTCACTTTCAAGTTGTAGAGATAGCAGATGGGGAGCCTGGAAGGCCATGGGGAGCCTGGAAGGCCGTGGGCACTGTGAAATATCCTTTTGGGTGACATCTCTGGTTCCACTTAGAAAAGGAAGTGTAGGCAGAGCTGGCCAGAGTGAAGTCTCCCAAGACCCAACTCAACCCACAACATGCCCTGGGTGCCCATGCTGCTTATCCAACCAGGAACCCATCCAGATGTGGAGCCTTCCACTGTTGTGAACAAGCAGTAAATATTTAGGGAGCTGTCCTCACAATCCACGAGAGTCACCATGCCCACCTATCTCAGGGCTCTGTGAGGCTCAGCCTGCTTGCCCTTAAGTCTGACCTGGCTCCCTTCAAAGCACTGGCCAGAGGCAGCAATCTGCAAATAAGAGATGCTCAGTTGCCAAAGTTGCCGCTGCTAGAAACTTGGCACGAGGGGGGATCTGACCCAGGCTAGAGACTTAACACTAATTGGAACATTAAGTGGTTGATGGAAAACAGTGAAAATGACCTTGGTTTCCCCCAAGGGAGTTGGCAGGGCTAACTAGGTCTGGAGCTCTATTAATGGAAAGTCTCAGAAACTGAGCTTGGTTACAGTTCTGGTCCCATGACACAGATAGAAAAATAAAGGCCTCCAGAAATGGTGCTGAAATGTTTTTTTGGCTTTCCTTGGACACCAGGGAATGAACAGGAGGGAAATCTGACCATGCCAAAGTCTTTTCCAAGTGTCTTCTCTTTCATAAGAATAAAAACTACTCAGGTTAGAATTCAGGCCACCCATTCAGTTCATCTCTGATTCTGTATCAAATGCATAGAAATGATTAAGCAGTTCAGAAAGCCTGCTCAAGAAACAACTTCTGGGGCTGTGGTCCCAGTAAGGGGGAGACCAGTTCTGCTGGCCAGCATCCCTCAGCAGCCAGCAGGTAGCAGAGTCTGTTCAGTGGGGAGGAGGATGGTCCCCGCTGCCCCCAAGTCCAGAGCAAATCTTTTCTCTCTGGGATTATTCAGATTACTGGAGGGAGAACTATGACCTGTCGGGCAGAACATACCACGCACTTTTGTCTTACATTGTCCTAAGATACAGCTTATTAAAGCATAAGTCGTATTCTATTTTCAAAACAGGACCAAGGGTTTTAGTGAAACTTTATCTGGCATCACCCCATATTCTCAGTGGGGTATTTCTTTGCTCCCTAATGCCTTTATGACCACTTTCTTAAACAAAGAAAACTGAACACAAAACCCTCAAATACTTGACAAAATTCTTTGGTAAGCAAAGTTGTCTTTGGCCCAAAGCGGGCTTCTCAGTACCAGACGCATCGTACTTGCTCCTCTCCAGCTACCCCATCCCAGGCTCCTGGGCTCTTGGCCTGCCACCGGCAACACCTCTGGCAGTGACACTCCAGGAAGGGCTGGAATCAACGCCAGCTTAGCACCAAGTCATGCACTGGGGAGTGGCCCCAGGAGCTCTTTAGGGAACCACTCTGGGCTGCACATGCTCCTTCTTGGAGCTCTTGTATTCTGAGGTATCTTAGGGCTCTGACGGACTCCACAGAGCCAGTTTGATTTGAGTCAGGCACCCATGGGCTTTTTCTGGCCTTAACCTTACTCTGAAAACCCAGACTTGCTTTGCCACTGAGGGCTGTCCAAGGACATCTCAAGACAGTCCCCTTAGGCAACTCAACTAAAACACATTTCCAGACCTCAGCTCTGTCCCTCCAGGGGGCACACACAGACACTGAAAAGAGGTCTGAGTTTTATAAGGATGCTCCTTTCTCAAAGTTTCCTGCCCATCATTCCTCAGAAAGTAGCCTTTATGACTTTGGCTCTGATAATGATGGTCCCCATGCTGTGTGTTTACTCACTTGTAGAAGGCTTGGTTCTCAATTCCACATTTCCACAGGTGCTTGCAGGCTTCTGGAGTTGGAGCAAAATATGTGAGAATAATTTTCTTTTCCTACAAAAAATCCCACGTAGAAATAACTGAGTGTGGATGGAGAAGTGAAGGGTGAAGTAGGCCAGGATACTGACCCTGAGCTGTCTGGGGGCTCCCATGACTTTCACAGGCTGTAGACGGGGCAGGGCTGCCTGGCAGCGGGCTAGCTGGGAGAGAAGGCCTGCAGGAGCCCCGGGGCAGACCTCAGCTGTGTGCGCAAGCACACCTGCAGGGCCAGAGGGTCAGTCTCAGCAGGCACACATTGAACTGAGAGAGCCCTGACCAGAGAAAGTGGCACGCATATCTAAAATGTTCTTTTTCTTCTTCTTTTGTACTTTTATCTTGGAATTTTTATATGGAAGCACAAGAATGTTACTTTGCATTTCCTAGAGGCATGGAACCTCTGGGGGTCATCAGCCTCCCTAAGGAAGCCCTATGTTCAGGCCTAGCCACCTGTCCCTCCCTCACCTCCACATCTTGACCTTGGTCTTGCCTTAGCATGCAGGTGGTTTCGCTCTACCTGGACGGAGCACCTTGGCTCAACCCTGGCCGTCAGGAGCCATCCCAGTGCCCCAGCCCTCCGGAAAGGAAGGAGCCAGCACTCACCTCTTTCTGACTTACGTATAAATAGAAAGTCTTTCCTTCAAATTTTAGCTTGGTCACCTCGTTCCTAGAAGCAGAGAGAGTACCAGTCACCTTGCTGTGGGCTGCTTATTCGCAGCTACGTCTTGTAGATGCACAGCCCACCCCGACTGAAGGGGCTCCAGGCACAGACACAGTTTTAGCCAAAATCAGAACTAAAACAAGACAGCAGCGCAATGGCCTTAGAGAACAGTTGTTGAAATAGTTCAATCCACAGTTTTCTGGTCAATCAGACTATAATAATTGGATGATAGGAGGGTTTCAGGCTCATCAATAGTGGCTGTAAAAGGGAAACATTGGCCTGGGAAGTGAGGCGAGGCAGAGGTCCTGGGCCATTTCAGGATTTGGTTCATTACACAGGTGCATTGTCTGGATGGGACTATCAAACATAAGATGCCACAGTAGCTGATGAGGCCAAAGTTCAAGATACAGCAAATAATGAAAAACAATGCAACCAGGTTCTGAGGGAGTTGAGTCTTTCAGGTGACTGTGCCACTGGATGGAAAATGCAGTTTAATGCAGACAAATGTCAAACGATCTCAGGGAGGGGGGCGGAACAACATACCAAAGAGAGAACAGATTACATGAACAGTCATGCAGTGTACTGACCAGGAAAGGGGCTTAGGGGTTTTTGTAGAAAAATCCTTGAAGCCACCAGCCCAGTGAATGGCTGCAGTAAAAGAGGCAAACAGGATACCGGGGTACGTCACCCGCGGGACAGACACAAATCAGAAGAAGTGACATGGTTACTGTACATGGCACGGCTTAGACCTCACCTCCACATACTGCTTGCAGCCTTGGTTACATTTACAAAATGGAAAAATGACCAGGGTCATAAGTGGATGTCCCTGAGAGCCAGAGAACTGGGCCTCAGCAGTGGTCATGCTTCACTGCCTTCCATTTGCCTGACACAGCTGCCCTCTGGAGCCCCGAGACCCCCAGCCTCACTGGGGGGGGGGGGTCCTTGTTTCCTACCCACTGGGACCCCAGGGAGCCCTGACCAGGCACGTGTGCCTGCACTTAGCTTCTTCTTCTTTGCAGTTTTTAGGGAGATTTCCTCAATATCCTAGGAAATAGCTGAAAGGGAGGGAGAACCACATACCCAGTTTACTGTCGGACAACACTGAGGGGACAAAGGAAGGTCACTTGTTCCCTGGAAATCAGGATGAGCGTTCACAACCCTGACTCACAGTTCTGAGCTAGTAGAAGACACACGTACAGTCGGCCCTCGTTTATTGCGGTTAATCAGTTCGAGACTCTACCATGATAAATGAATTTCCGCGAAGTAGGATTCTTTATTTATATACAGTTTATTTGAAAAAACTGTGATAGAGTGAAACCGTGAAAGGGGGACGACTGTACTCCTTCCCAGTTTGATTCCTCCAGCCAACCAGTCTGTCTTTCACACACACAGAATACAATATGTATCAATGGGTTAATATATAAACAAGCACACAGATCATCTAGGCTTCAGTGAGAGAGAGGAAAGTAAGAGTTTTCTATTGGAAGTGACATTGGGCTTACATCTATTAAAGTTGAGGCATTGTGGAGAGGAGACTTCCTGCAGACGTGAGAGGATTAAAAGGGTCTAGGAAAACCAGGTGAACTTCAGGGCTGCTGGAGGCGTAGGGACACTTTGGGGACTGCAGGTCCCTGGTGTGTCCCATCTCATGAAGCAGCTCCCCTGGTCAGTGTGGCCCAGGATCTGGGCTTGCCAAGGGATGTCAGACAACCTAGTTGTATCCGGCAGCAGGTGCTCCTAACTGGGAGAGAAGGTGGTGGCCTGATCCTGCTCGTTGTCTTTTTCTTTCTGAAAAGTATTTTTTGGACAGAAGACCACAAACCCTCACCATCTTCACCCAAAGAGCAGAGTGGGTGGGCCAACTTGAGCTGGGTGTGTGAGGAGCAGTTTCACTAGCACTCGATCATCACATGGCCAGTCTTCACAAGGGAAGTAAAGGTGGAAAGGTGATGTCTCTCTACGAGGCCAACACAGGAGCTGAAGGGGACAAGGGAGGATAGATGCCCTGCAGTACCCACAGCAGAAAGCTTGTCAGGAAGCAGCTCTGTCCTCAGATTCCCACGAGCTCTTCTGGAGATGGCAACGGAAACAAGGCAGGACCAGGCTTCCCTGGCTGAGCTCTGCTGGACCAAGGAAAGCCACTTGTCCAAGCCCATGACAGGAGCTGGCCAGCTTAGACTTGACAGTCTAAAGCCCAAGGAGGTACAGAAATCTCAAGGGCTTAGTAGAATTAGCAACATGATTTGACAAGGTGAAAGATGTCTGCATGAGCCAGAAAAAGGGTCCCTAGGAGAGCCAAATGCCCATCAACAAACTAGAGTCTGCACTGCATTGGCTCCCAGAGCCATGCTGCAGAACAGACCCCAAACAGATGGGGCAGAGCAGCAGTTCAGTGGCTTCAGCTGAGGCAGTGTCTCTTGCCTGCCAGAAGCGGGGGTGGGAGAGGGAGAGAGGGAAGAAAAAGTGGGGATGTAACTTTTGGAGGTTGAGGACACCTAATCCCTCAAGATGGGTAGGAGAGACAGCTGCAGGTAACTTCTGTCTGCCCCAGGGGTCACTGTGTGCCCCTCCTTCACTAGAAGAATGGGTGAGGGAGCGAGAGTCCATGCAGATGCTGTGGCCATCAGTGCGGAACTGTCCCAAGGTCTCTGTTCTCATGGGGACTTTGTTTCTCTAACACTGGCTCCAGCCCCAGGCCTCTCATAATCCAGAAATCAACCCTCCACACCCTTTCTTCATCTGGAGAGGCTGCTGGCTCTCAGGAACACCCCTCTGGAAGAATAGGATCCCTAGGAAGAGGCACCACCTTCATCAGTTAGCATTATGGATGCAAGGCTTTGGAGGGGCCCAGAGCCAGAACTACCCAGTCACAGACAAAGGACATGGGAACCATAGCCCTCCCCAATTGGTGAAGTATAAAACGCCTGTCTTGGAAATGAAGATATTCACCATTTAATGAAGTGGACCCTCTTGTTTCCTTGAAGAACCACAAATCCAAAAGGTGTGAAGGCCAGAAATGCAGCGTTTCCTGACACATCCTGCAAAGGAAGACTCCTCATCAGGGCGGTGCAGGCGCAGGTGAGAGGGACAGGGACAGCTGCCCGTCGCTGGCACAGGGTAATGCTTGGCAGTGGGTTGCAGAGGGAAGAGCATGGCCTTTGGGAGTAAGAGGCAAGTTACTTACCTTCCCTCAGTCTCAGTGCCCTTGACTGTAAATTGTAGATGATAATGATACTAATCTTAGAAGGCTGTTGTGAACATCCAAAGAGAATGGCAAACCCTCGCATTGCTGGTGGGATTGTAAAATGGTACAGTCACTTTGGAAAGCAAGTCACAAGTTCTTCAAATGGTTAAACATAGTTACCTTATGACCCAGCAATTCCACTCCTAGGTATGTGCCCAAGAGAACTAAAAACGTATGTTCACACAGAAACTTGTACATGAATGTTTATAGCAGGATTAATTTTTCATAACAGCCAGAAAGTGGATACAACCCAGATGTCCATCAACTGATAAATGAATAAACATTTGACACATTCATACAGTGGAATAATATTCAGCAGTAAAAATACATGCTACAACCTTTGAAAACATTATCCTAAAAGAAGCCAGTTATGAAAGAGCACATGTATGATTCCATTTATATGAAATGTCCAGATAGGCAAAGCTATTGAGACAAAAAGCACCAGGTTGCCAAGAGCTGTGGGGAAGGGGAGACGGGGAGGGACAGCTAATAGGAACATGATAAAAATGTTCTAAAATTAGCCCAGCTGGGTCATTGAATGTCATCCCATGGACTGAGAGGTCCTGGTTCAGTTCTTGGTCAGAGCCCATGCCCAGGGTTGTGGGCTTGATCCCCAGTGGCGGGCATGCAGGGGGCAGCCAACAATGTTTCTCACATCGATGTTTCTATCTCTGTCCCTTACTCTCTCTAAAAACATAAATGAAAACATATAAAACAAAAACATTTAAAAAAACAAAAGTTCTAAAATTAGGTAGTGGTGATGGTTGCATAACTAAATGTACTAAAAACCACTGACGTGCACTTTAAAAGGATGGATTTTATGTATGCAAATTATATCTCAAAAAAGCTGTTATTGGAGGGAAAGAGAAAGGGAGAAAGGGAGGGAGGAGAGGAGGAAGAAAGAATAGAATGAAAGAATATGGCAGTTATCATGATGGGCTCTACACACTGGCCTCCCTCAGGAAAGCTTAGCTGAAGAAAAGATAAACAACAACTGACCACGTGGAACAGCCATCACCAGCCCTGTGGTGCCTGAACCAACAAAGAGGCCTCCTGGTCACCTGTAACCATCAGTCAGAACACCTGGCTGAGGTTCTGCTGAGCAAAGGGGAGAAGGTGCAGCAGAAGCTGTAGATCATGGTTCCTTCACCTGGGACAATGAACTCCATGAGGACCAGGTCTTTTCTAGTTTGGAACAGGGCACAGAAAGCTGGTTGATGGATTATGCTCTCTCAGGGGAGATTCCTTTGTGGTAGGGGCCTCAGGTGAGAATCTGCGCTGTTAGGGTGTGTGTTCAGGTGGCCAGGGAATTAAGGCAGGATGCTGGTCAAATGTGCTTGCAGGACAGTTGTCTGGGCCGTAGCTTAGACGGTGCCATGGAGCCAGGGCCAGGCACCTGGTGGGAGGCATATATGTGGGAGCCCTGGCTGGTGGGCTCTCCGAGCCTGTCCCACCTTCAGTATTTACATCTCTGGAACACATCTTCCGTCCACTCAGCCCTAGAACAGTGAAGATCTGCAGGGCTTTGTGAGCCTTGCCTTAGGAAAAAAGGCAGTTTTTCCCTAAAAGTGCCTCTAGAGTCAGGGTTACAGGTGTGAACATCTGGGCCCAGGGAATAAACTAAGTACATGTTTTGCAATTAATGTATTTTTATTATTGTCCTTTCCTCAGGGTCTGTCATGACCCTGACACTTAGATGCAAGCACAATGTCATTCAACCATGGGCACAGCAAAAATCTGTTTAAAAATAACCTGAATGGAGATACTGTGAAGCCACAGGGCTGGATTTCCTCCTGCCTGTCATCAGTGCTTGGTGGTGGCGGCGGATATCTGAGCGCCAGCACTGCACACAAGCCAGGCCCCTGTGGGGACACCAGTGCTCACCTGGCAGGTTGACAGGGACATGGGTCGGGGCAGGCTGGGACTTGGGGTGGAGAATGCCTCTGAGAGTGGGTGAGGGAGGGCTCTGCTCGCAGCGGGGGGTGGGGGCTGCCTCAGACAGAGGGTGGCCCCAGGAGGCTTTCTGCTCACTGCAGGCAGGGTCCAAGGAAGTCCTGAAACCAGGTTTCCAAAGATGGAGCCTGGAGCCTGGAGGGTGGAGACCTTACCTTATTTGTACTCACAGAGCAGGCCTGCAGGAAATGTCTGTCAGGTGAGCGTGAGAGACAATGAGGTGGGCCAGAGCAGTGGAGGAAGTACCCACGTGAACAAGAACTGACAGGGCGAGGACAGTGAGGGAGTGTGGAGGGTGCTCCCTGAGAGACGGGAGACTGGAAAGGCCTGGAGGAATGTAGGTGGGAGAAGGGAAACAAAGGGTCGGGCCCTAGAGGACTGAGGATGGCTTCCAATAACAGGTGAAGAGTGGACCGGGAAGCAGCAGGGTGGGCAGGGAATATATCTCTGCTTCTTGTACTGCCGACCCCTGTGAGCAGTGGCGGGGCAGAGCGCCCTGGGCACGGGTCGGACCCCTCAGGCCCGGGCTCTGGCTCTGCCACTCACTCGCTGCGCGACCTCGGCCGGGGCACTTCCTTTCCTCGTGTTTCAGACTCCTCATAAAATGAGGGTTGACAATATTACCTACCTAACAGACTGTGCTTAGTAGGCACCCGATACGTGCCGGTGGTTGTGTTGTTAATATTATAGCTGCTACTAATTAGCTCAGTTTGTTGAACTTATTTCAAAATCTTTTCATTTTAAACCTAACATGTTACTATTTTTCCTGAGGTTGATGGATTGAAATGTTAGTTAGGAAATGAGGTTGTGGGAAGTTGGGGTAGAAAGGGAGATGTCACTCTGGTTAGGGGACCACGGTAAAAGGGGATTGGAAATTGGGGTGAAAATAAAGTAGGCAGAAGGAAGGAAACAGAGGCTGTGACCGTTGGAGGTCTGTGGGCATCACCCCAGTGACTGGCCGTATCCCAGAGCAAAGGGAAGAGAAGGTCCCCCCATAAGCTGGGTGCTGCTGGCCAGGTTGCTGGGGTGGCAGTGTGCATTTGCACCATCCAGACACGGTGGGGCCGCCTCCCAGAGAAGGCAGGTGTTGGAGTTAGAGGGGAACAGTCTCTCTTGACCAGACTGGTTGAGCAAACTGGGAATCAACCTTAATTAGATGCCACATCATTCCAATACGTAATAATAGCACTTTGACCAACCCCAATCTTGTCTCTCATATGAAGAGAGCAATTCTCCAAACTGCTTCCAATGCAACAGTTCCCGATGAAGGTCTGTCTCTGCAAGGCCGGCACCTGGACAGCCACAGGGTGGAGGTGGCTGTCTGGCACATGAGGAGCGGGACTTGGTATCACAGTGAGAAACCTCGTGTCTGTACCAGCACGAAGACACAGATAGGCAGCCACGCTGACACCTTCTCTGGAACGTGCCCCGTTCCTTCTGTCTAATGTGTCATTCTCACCGGAGCTTGCCCTTGGGATTTGTGTGCGAAAGGACAAGTTATGTTACAAAGAGAGAAGGAAATGAGGACGAGGAGAGAAGTGACACAGACAGCGGTAACCTGTCCCCATCCCATCTTGATGAAATCAGTCCCCACGGGACTGAGCCATTATACACCGGGGAGGTGGAATGAAAACTCAGTCTTGACAGCCGCAGGCGGATATCGCCGCCCCCACTCTACATCAGCGAACAGTCAAAAGAAGTTAGTTCACTTTTACAGTTTGACGTAAAAGTTTGTTTTCAATTTTTCATTCTTGTGCAAACAGCTTCTGTCAGTTTAGGATCCCAGCTCTACTTCTTTTCCTTTTTTTTTTGGTTAATCCTCACCCAAGGATATTTTTTTCATGATTTTTAGAGGGAGTGGAAGGGAGGGAGGAAGGAATGGGGAAGAGAGAGAGAGAGAGAGAGAGAGAGAGAGAGAGAGAACAAATGAACATCGATGTGAGAGAGAAACATCGAATGGTTGCCTTCTGCATGCACCTGGGGACTGAACCTGCAATCCAGGTATGTGAGTGACCTTGACTGGGAATCAAACCCATGACTCCTCAGTGCACGGCTGATGCTCTAACCACTATTCCACACTGGCCAGAGCCCCACTCTGTTTCTTATTTGCTCTGTGACTTACTTAACTTCTCTGAACTTCAGTTTCCTCATTTGTAAAATAAGGACAATAAATGATACATACTTCAAAAATACTACTTCTGTCTAATGGCCTGAATGACCTACTGCCAGGACGTAGCCAATGCAGTTTTCTTGGAGAGAGGATGGATCTGAACTGAGTCAGTCACATGTTCATGTGGAACCACCATCCAACTTGACCTGCATCGATTCCACATCATCAAAGGTGATCATTCTGCCCTGGCCGGTTTGGCTCAGAGGTTAGAGCGTCAGCCTGCAGACTAGAGAGGCCAGGGTTTGGTTTCTGCTAAGGGCATGTACCTCGGTTGCAGTTTGTCCCCAGCCCCCGTTGGGGTTGTGTGGGTGGCAACCATTCAATGTGTCTCTCTCACATCGAAGTTTCTCTCTCTCTCTGTCCCTCCTGCTCTGTCTCAAGATAAATGCAAAAAAATGTCCTCGGGTGAGGATAAGAAAAAAGAAAAAGAAAAAAAAAAAAAGGTGATCACTCTGCCCAGCAGAGGCTTTTTGGAAAATAGCACTGACTGGTTCTTGGAAGTAGGGACATCTGGTCACTTTTGCCCAGCGCCCACAAGTTTTACCTCTGGACACAGCGCAGTAGGCGTCCGTCTGCTGCCGTCCCAGAGGACATCCTGGGTATGGCAGAGTAGGGACCTAGCATTCTTGGTTGTTACGCTTCTCCGGGTCATCCAGTCCTCTCTCTAGAGCCCGACTTAAACGAATTCCATCTGGATGGGTGAAGCCTCTGTTATTTTTATAAACCTTAGGGAAGAGGAACGCACATGCTCTTCCAGACATTTATGCCCATTCCCGAAAGAGCTCGTAGCTGGGAACCTTTAAGTCAATCATGAAAATCACCCAGTTTCAATATACTCAAACCTGGCCACAAGAAACTAGGCTGGAAATTAGGAGGAGGCACCCCATAACAGGCCTGGTGTCACCCCATGACAACTCAGTCATGGAAATCTTGGCAGAAACTCGCCACCTAGGTAGCTTTAGTCAAGTTGTTCATTTCAGCAGTAAACCTAACGTTCTCCCCGTGGTGCAGCCCAGAAGGGCCCACCTGAGGAAGAGGGTGAGCCATTGCGGCTCCTTCTCAGCCTGTTTCTCTGAGGTCAGGGGCAACTTATCCCGCTGGGAGGAGGGTTTATTAAAGAGAAACCTGGGTGTCTCGATTAGGAAAGTATGATCCTATTTTAAGGGTAAAGGAATGACGCTGGAATTTGATTTGTGTGGTTGCTCCCACCTAGATCCTGCTGAAATCAGTTTTCTCCTGGTCTGTTCAGAACAGACATAAAACCACTTGGTGAACTTACATTCAATTTTTATATGATTTCAGTAGTTTCATAGGTCTTTGCCTTCCCTCTATCACAATTGGCGGTGAGTCCTGCTTTGTTCCTAAATAAATGCCATCTCTCCAGAAGGAAGACCATGAGTGATAACTGGGGAACACAGCACTGAGATGCAGACAGCTCTGGGTTTGCGTCCCAGTACTGTCTCTACTAGCAACTCTGGACATGTCGTCAGTCCCTCAGAAGCTCAGTTCTTATCTCAAAAAGAGGACAAGAACATTTTGGCAGTGTTATTGAAAAGATTAAATGAGATAGTGTGCAAAAGTGGCTGGCACGCCCTGGCCGGTATGGCTCAGTGGTTAGAGCATCGGCCTGCGGCCCAGAGAGACCCGGGTTCGGTTCCCGCTAAGGGCACGTACCTCGGTTGCAATTTGTCCCTGGCCCTGGTTGGGTCATGCGGGTGGCAGCCACTCGATGTGCCCCTTTCACGTTGATGTTTCTCTCTCTCTTCCTCCCACTCTATCTGAACAAAATATGGAAAAGTGTCCTCGGGTGAGGATTAAAAAAAAGTGCCTGGCACGTTCATTCAATAAATGGCACCTTAATGACTCATAAGGTGGCCGGGTAAAGGCTGGGGTATCTGGGACAGGTCTGATCGCTACACAAACCTTCACAGGCAGGAGGCCACAGTCCAGGCCTGCAGGAGCCCAGGGTACAACCAGCCCCAGGGCCCCCTAGAAGGAATAGGATGGTGGCTCCTGGGCTTGGAGAGGTTCAAGGCTGGGGAACAGGTGCAGCACTGGGCTGCCAGTGGTTTGCTCCACTCCCCTTGTCCAGCGGCTGTGAGCTTGGCCTGCCGGGGCTCCTGCAGAGAACCCAGGATAGCTTGTGAGTGTTCCGAGTGTGGGCGCTACTATGAGCCAGCTAGCTACTGGAGCCCTCGGTCTGTCCCACCCAGAGTTGGCAGGATCTCTTCCTGGTCCTAGGGCCAGACGAGGACATGAGGCAGAAAGAGACCATCAGCATGGACAGGAAGAACAGCAGCTTCTCAATCAGTCCAGGAGAGCAGAGCCCAGCAAAAGTATTGTTCTGCTCTCATTTAATTATCCAAACGATTCCTCTTCTTCTGTCCTCCCTAGGGCTACGTGCCCCAGATTCCCTGGGCTCAGTAATTGCCTCTCTGTTAATAGAAATCATCAGTATTTATTACACCGAGTGCTCCAGCTTATTTCAGCTCTCCTTGTAGCAACATTAAGGCGAGTGCTTGGTAGCATATCACCAAAGTGACTCTACTTAATGACAAGAGTAAAGGCTCCCAAACTGTTCTTGTTCCAGAAGGCAGAGGAAATCCTGAGCTGGAGCCCAGTGAATGAGAGGAGATGAGGGGCCACGTGTAGGGTCTGCAGCAGGGCCCTGACATGGCCCTGGGTGAGCAAGAAGTACAGGGCCCAGGAACAAGGGCCTGGAAGCCCAGTGCTATGAACATTCCCAACTTCTTCCCAGAAGTCTCCTGAGGACTCCCGGTCCTTACAGACACATAATGGGAAGTGAATTGGGTTCAAATTCTTGCTGTACCTCCCAGGGCCTTGTAAATTGTGACTTCCTGGAACTTTTTTCGTCTCACCTATAAACCAGGAAGAATAACATCCATCTCCTAGGGCTACATGAAGATTAAATGAGAAAATCATGTGAAAGGATTCCTGTGGGCCTGCTACGGAAGGTGTCACAAACGTCTCTTCCCTCCGTCCTGTAGTCTCTTCAGCCTGTGTCCGAGAGGCACAAATTCATCAAAGCCAGGGCTGAACCAGGAGCCTCACAGTCACTCAGTTGTGCCTAGGTTCACTGTCCACTATGTGTTGTCAGGTGACAGCCCTGCCCAGGAACCCAGCTCCGAAGGGGAGGGTACTCTGTGTGGCCTCAAGGGGACAGGGCAGATTTGGAGCCAAAATGAGAGTACCTGGCACCTTCTAATGACATCTATCTTTAGGCAGCGATGTCTCTGAAGGACATGAAGTGACTCAGCAGTTAAGGGAGGAGCACAGTTACCCACTGTGTCCAGATGAGGACTGTGAGGTTCGGAGAAGCCTCTGAAGGCCCCAGCAAGTAGGAGACCAGTACTGCAGCCCAGGCCAGCTGACCCCAAAGCTCTCTTCAGTCCTGTGCAGGTTCCTCTGCCGACAGTATCTGAGCAGTCAGTGGAGGTTGAACTACAAAGTTACGCAGAGCACATATTTGTGAAGCTGTGCTAATTCATTGGTAAATATCCATATGACGATTTTTTGGGTATAAATTGGCATCAATGTGTTTTCTGACAGTGCTGGCCCCCAAGAACACAGGGGTTGTCTGGCAGTAGGCTGTGCTGGTGGACAGGGAACTAACGGGTAGGGAAGGTGAGCAGGGTTTCTGAGTGTTAGGATGTTGTCAGAGTTCATATTGGAAGTTTCAACATTACATCTTATGCAAGAACGAATCACCATCACCTCACCAAGAGGCCAAGGGAAACACAACTCTGCCTCTACAGCACTGGTTCCTTGGTTTCTAGTCTCTTAATTTTTGTTGAAAACTTATGATGCCCCTTCTCCTATTAGGAAGAAAAGGTCAATGTCCTCCTGTTCCCCCTGGGTACTGTCTCCCTCAGATCAGTTTGAGAATCAGTGTTATAGGTGATACTGGGGTCTCTCCAGTGGTGGAAAGACAGAGGCAAACACTGGGAGAAACTGAGGCAGAGACAGGAGTGTCAAAGCAAGAGGGATATGGAGATGAAGAGGAGGGATATGGAGATGAAGAGGAGGGATATGGAGATGAAGAGGAAGGGGGGATATGGAGATGAAGTGGAAGGATATAGCCAGAGAGTATAGGAAAAGGCCATGGTCTCCACTGCTCTCCAAAGTGACTGCTGCCTAATCTCATCTCCAGAACGCCAGACACATGTGAGTAATTACGGAGGTCTTCTCTGGGCAGAGCCTCCCTGGCTGGTCCCTGTCTTGCCCTCACAAGCGCGTAATGAAATCAAATGTGATCCGCTGTGGTTCCGCGCAGTGACTTAGCTACTGCAGTCAATAAAACCCACTCTTGGAAGGAAACCAGATTACGGGTCAGGGAAGGTGGGCAGTCCGCCGAGCTGCCTCGGATTGGTCCCTGTTGGGGGGGCCTCCCACCTTGCTCCTCTCTTCATTTCCACCAAATTACCCACTACTGCCAAATGGGGGCCCCATTTCAAATTTGTTATTTAGACTGAGTTTGCCTCCGACAGCAAGGAGGCAGCACAAAATTATGCAGCGTGGAATCCAGGGGAATTTTCAAAGCAAGACATTTTCTTTGGCATCTTTCACTGAAAGCTAATCATCTGCTATTGAGTGGAGGGCGCGGGCCTGCGGGCCCTCCCTGCCCGCTGCCCTCTACAGGAGGCGAGGTCAGTGCAGCCTCCCACCGAGGGGCTCCTACCTTACACGGGTGAGGGTCCACTCCGTACGTCTCCAAAGTCTGCGCTTTTCTTAAAAAATTCAGCTCTGACGTTGCTGGTGTTTGACCACTGGAATAAAGAAAACGAGGTGATTTCAGGGTTTCCTGTTTTCATAGCTTCTCCTGAGGTAAATTATTAAGTGCTCAGGATGAGTCTCACACCACAGTTTTTCCAGAGTGTACCCCCTGCTCTATCCCAGGACCAACATTAGAGATTTCTGCCTAGGGTCAAAAACTCAGGTGTCTTCAGGCTACATAAGGAATGACATGGGCTGTGACACAGCAGGAGTGCCGGGGACAGAGGCAAACTGGGGAGTGCAACCCCATCCAGTGAGGGCAGCTGCTCTTCTGCTCCAAGACGGCAGTCCTGTGGGAACACAGGGCCCGGCCTTGCTAGCTGTGATTTGTACCAGAAGTCAGAGATACTGATTTTTATGTGGTATTTCATGATTTTAAATGCTATAGGAGCAAACGAAACACATCTGTAGGCTGGCTGCAGGCCATGGGTTTCTCATCTGTGATCTGATTTAGACTGAAATACAAAGAAGGGGCCTGTACATCTTGCGGGTGCTGCCTCACCCTCTTCATTTACCAAGAGGGGACCTGGGAACAGAAGGTGACGAGACACAGCTGGAGACAATGCTGAGCTCTCCAGACTCCACCATGGCTCTATCCACAGGGTGATGACTATGAAAAGGAAACCAGCAGCAAAAGGAAGAAACCAGCCCTGGCACCAAGCCATCCGAAGAAGGGGCTGTTAGCACCAACATTCCCACCCGGCTGCCTCCTTAGCGCATTCATAGACGAGCGCATCACAGACCCGTGGCCTGTCCCTGTCGCCAGGCTCTCTCAGGGCCCGGAGCCCTGCCAAAGCAGACATACTTCTACAGGTGTGGGGGTGGCTTCGGTGTGAAGAGGGGTGGGCAAGCCACCAAAGGGAAGAGCAGGCCAGTGTCCCTCTGCAGAGGCATCGACCAGTCAGTACCGTAAGTGCCAGCCTCTGCTCTGCCTGCTGTGACATACACCAGACGTTTAGCACAGTCTGGGCCCCTGAGGGACTCCTGCTGGAGCTGGAAAACGGAAACAGACGCACTTTTACGGTATGAAGATAAAGCTGAACCTGTGTAAGTAGTACCTGTAAGTCGGCATTATGTGGACTGCAGACATCTACACCCACCCATGTGCTGAGACACAGGGAAGGTGTTTGGGAAATGCTTGTGCAGCAGGCCAAGGTCTGGGCCCTGTAGCTCCATTTACCTCTGAGGTTGGCCCAAAACGCTGGAGCCCTCAAAGCAGGCATCATTTCCTGAGGGATCTCCAACCTACCAGGTTTCTGAAGGGCTGTCCCCACTGCTCTGACATTGAAAATCCTCCTGGTAGCACTGCAGGGAGTTCCAGCACATCCCTGCTATCTCTGAATGAACCCTGAGCCTTCACACAGGTCTGTGTATTCCGACCTTTACCACCAGGGGCCGCTATTTCCCCAACAGAGTGATGGGAGGAGCCCAGTGGCCGGGAAAGGCCAGCTTGCTCAGGGAGAGGGTGGGGAGCAGCTAGGATTCCACCTTTGATTGGTGTCACCATTCCTGGAGAAGGGTTGGGAACCAGCCCTGCCACAAACGGTGGGCAGGCGGTCTGTTTACAAAGGCTAAGGAGGCTGTGGGGACATATTTGTTGGTAAAATCTTTGAATGAAGGTGAAGATTTGTTTTTTGTGTTTTGGGGACCAGGAGATCAGGGTAGGGGCTAGTTTAGGCTTAATATGATAATTAGAAATATCTTTTACCCCATCTTGGGCATTTTTCTAGCCCCAGAAAGGTAGTACACAAACATTTTAAAAGATTTTAAAAGTTATAATGTATTGATATATGACATGTTTTACTTTACAATGCTGCATTGTATGTATCACATTTTTCTTCATAGTTTATCAGTCCGGGGAATCTGTGCTGCAGCCACATAAAGTGGAGCCCAAACACCCTGTCATTTTTTGTTTTTTAAATCAATCACTGTAGAAAATCCTATTTCATATGAGTGAAAGGACACATTAATGCTATGTGGTGGAATAAAGAATATTCCGGGTGAACTAAGAATCTGAAGACGAGCCTCCTGCTTCCAGCTGCATCTCCTCCTTCCCTCTGTGCAAGGGTGTGGGTTTGAGGCAGTGCTGAAGATCCGGTTCCCGAACCAGGTGTTCTCAGGCTGCCCACAGTATTTAGGAACCAGGCCAACCTGGTGCAGCCCCCCACCCACTGACACAGGAGCCCCTGTAACACTGTCTCAGACTGAGGACAGAGGCTTGCTCATTTTTCACATTTCCATTCAATCCCTCCTCTAATCTTTTTTCTCTCTGTTATTTCCTTTATGTTTTTCTTTTCCTTGTTGCCAGTTCATGCTTTTGACCTCTGTCTCTTCATTTTTCATGGTGAAATAATACCTCTGGGGCCAAACCTGTCTGTTTTCCTCACTGTACCATGTCTCTCTTGCCTTGACGTCTCAGTAACCACTCTTCCTGGAGAGGGAGCCCACAGGGCCTGGAGCTCTGCTGTCAGTGGGTCACTGAAAATGGTACATCCAGAACGAGGAAGGTCAGGCCATGGGGGAAACAGTGTCCTGGGCTTGAACTGTGTGTCACTCACCTGAGTTCTGTCTTGTGAATCTCAGCAATTTTCCTTTCCAGCTTCTCTGAATGTTTAGGAAAAAACTGAAACTTGGAGCTGTAGCCTTCAGGGTGTTTTCCTGGGTCATAATCTCCAATCTCCGCTTGTGAAAGGAATGCAGAAGAAAATTGTGGGGATTGGCAAAGCAACAAAAGATGAACACAGAGAGCATCAGTCAAAGCATGCACCAGATTTACAAGGAACAGCGGACCCTGAGCACGGCTGTGGGCAGGCAGAGGGCATGCCCCTGAGGAGAATGTCCACATTTGTTTTCCCAGTGTGCAAATGGGTTGATGTCAAGTCTAAGCAGAGAGATAGCAGAACTGACCCTGTGTTCCAGAGGGCATTGCAAGTAAATGTGCAATAAAAGAGCAGAGGCCTCCACCATAGCCCTCATCCATTCAGTTATGAGAAGGGGCCTGGGTGTGACGCTTTTTGTGGCACTGGACACTGTGAGGAAGACAGAGCCTCTTGGGCCTGAGTCAGATCAGGAATTTCGCTGTGAGGATTTTATCAGGGACACAGCAAATTGATGAATGAGCCATGACCCAAACTCAGAACTCAACTCTCAGTCCAAATCAAATGAAGCTAAGTGAATACATTTGAATAAATATTCACTGAGGGTTGGGGCAGGTACCAGGCCCCTGGAGAGAACTGCAGAGCAGGGAATACTGGCTGTAACCTAGAAGTACCACTGAGAACAGTAGCACCAGGTCTTAAGGTTGATTTCTCAGCTCTCTGCTGGGGGTGGGGCTTTTTCTGGGAATCCAGCCCTAAAGCTGCAAATAAGCTCTCAGATCTTAGACATCTTTGGAGGCAGGGGTGGTGGTGGGCCCATGGTGCTCTCCACAGTGTGTTCCTAGGTGAGAACTTAGCTTCTCCAGATCAAATACTCCACAGGAACATCGTGGATATGTGAGGAAGAAGGATGTTAAGAAGTTAAAGCTGGCCCTGGCCGGTTTGGCTCAGTGGTTACAGCGTCGGCCTGAGGTCCAGAGAGACCCAGGTTTGGTTCCCGCTAAGGGCGCGTACCTTGGTTGCAGTTCGTCCCTGGCCCTGGTTGGTCGTACGGGTGGCAGCCACTCAATGTGTCCCTTTCACATTGATGTTTCTCTCTCTCCCTCTCTTCCTGTCTCTCCCTCCCACTCTACCTGAACAAAAAATGGAAAAATGTCCTCGGGTGAGGATTAAAAAAAAGGAAGTTCAAGCTGCTTTGTGGTTGCCCTTTTTCCTTCCCTAGTGAGAACCACAACTAGTACAGAGAGAAGTCTGGAGGGATGAATAAATATTAACAGGAAAGTGTACACTCCTCTCACAGTTGAATATTATGCTTCCAAATACTTGGGAATTTCTGTTATTGAGCAAGAGACTAAAGGCGTCCCTGGGCCTGAAGTCCAGAGTGACCTTGAGCCATGGAGTCATTCATTATGATTTTATTTAGAAAGCGCCAAATGGAAAACATCAATGTTGGACATCAATTTCCTTAAAGAAAAAATGAAAAATTCAATATGGCTGTCAGGGTAAACTAAAGGAAAGACTAGAGTTTAAAATTTCATTTAGATTGAACCAGGTTCTTTAAAATTGAAAGGTGCCACCCTGGCCAGTTTGGCTCAACGGTTAGAGCGTCAGTCCTTGGACCAAAGGGTCATGAGTTCGATTACGGTCAAGGGCACATACCTCGGTTGCAGTTTGTCCCCGGCCCTAGTTGGGGTTGTACGGGAGGCAGTCAGTCAGTGTGTCTCTCACATCATGTTTCTCTCTCCCTCCCTCCCAGTCTAGCTGATGATAAATAGAAAAATGTCCTCAGGTGAGGATTAAAAATACAAATAAATAAATAAAAATGAAAGGTGCCTCTTTTGGTACCTTAGGGTTGACAAGCACCTTCCTGTTTAGGTGATTTTAAAAAATAGGAATCTCAGAGGTCAAAGTTGTAATGAGCTGACTTTTATATTCTTAATGCAGCTGTGATATTTTTCTTGCCAGAAGATTTTTAGTTTCTATTGGCAAAGATTTTCCAAGTTCTCTTCATAAAGTAGCTTCCTGGAGTTCACAGATTTCCAATTAGGAATTCAGACTCTTTGATCGAAACTTCACGATTTTAGTGCTATGGCCCAAAACAATCCAGTGACAGTTTCAGGCCTAAGGATAAGAGAAGTCTAGGAAGGGACACTTAGAAGTGCCTTTCATTTTAAGAGAGGCGAAGGGATTATATATGAGAAATGCTTACCTTTTCCACTGTTTTTGCAAAAAAAAAAAAGCCAGTCTGGGCACCAGCTGGATACAGACTCAACTCTACCTTATTAGCAAGTTAGGAAATGTGTGTGTTACTTGGAAACATTTTCAACTTGGAGCACTCTGAACAGAAAAGGCTCTGAAACAGGCACCCGGATTCCAAGATGCTTCACCTCTTTGAGATTTGTACCAAGCTAAAAAGTGGATTCAGATGACTCTCCAGAGTCTCAGTAACTTGGTCCACCAAGGATGCAGGGAAAACACCCAGCATACTGAGAATGACTTGCAGGGGCTGGCACACGACCTCAGGTACACGTAGGGTTGAGTACGTCTAGGGAGTCAAGGCAAAGCCCTCTAATTTGGACTCTGCTGCAGGTTAGATATATCTGTGTATATCCAAGAAGTAGTCATCTGTGGTAACTGAAATAATGTAATCATCACTTAGCATGAAAAGTGAATTTATCCTGTCAAAAGTCATTACCTTGAAGGATATAAGCCGCTAACAAGGCAGCATCTGATGTTTTGCAGAGGAGGCGACCGTGGTAGAGATCCCTTTTGATCTGCAGGAAGACTAAATACCTGGAGAGAAAACAGAGTGAATTATAAAGAATTTCTTTGATTGCTTTAAAGACAAAAGCGCTCTGTCAGGACACTTTTACTACATTAAAAAAATATATATATCTCAAAACATACCACAGAACAAATACATTTTCCATTTCCCTGAAGACTCTTTCAAGTACTTTGCTCTGAACTGATTTGAGGTTCAATTCAAAACAACCGTCAATTTCTTTTGGAAGCTCAGAACAGAATGGCGCTTCCTGGTAAAAACATTGTCCCCCCCAGTGCTGGGCTTCAGGAGGAGCCAGCCTGGATCAATTCTGTGCCAAAATGAAACCTATGTCGAAAGAGAGGGGCCGACTGGGCCTCTCTCCGCCTAGGACTCTGGCTCAGGTTCCTTTAAGAAACGGAAGGGCAGATGAAGGAACCAGCCCAAGGAAGAGCTTGCCTCGGCTTGCCAAGAGAATCTGTCCATCTGTGGAACAGTCTTTAGTTACTGGCAGAGGTCAGCCAGACCTCTCAGAATCTGAATACGGGTGAAGGCAGCACAGAAAATGATGGCCAGCCTTTCACCAAGTACAGAAAGCTCTCCCCTCAGGTGGAAGCAGGATCTCCAGAGCAACTGGCACGTCCTGAGTGCTTACTGTCTGCCAGTCCAGGGGTTATGCACTTGCATGCAATATCTCATCTAATTCTCACATAACAGTTTGAGATAGGTACTATTATTATCCCCCCCCTTTAAAAATATGTTTTTATTGATTTTTTTTAGAGAGGAAGAGAGAGAGAGAAACATCGATGTGAGAGAGATACACTGATCAGCTAGCTGCCTCCTGCGCGTCCCCTACTGGGGGATCGAGTCCACAACCACGGCATGTGCCCTGACTGGGAATTGAACCATGATCTCTCAGTCCATGGGACGACACTCAGTCCACTGAGCCACACAACACCCCTCCTCCCAAGATAAAGCAACTGAGGCTCAAGTGATTTCACATGGGCATACAACTGGTAAGGTGCAGAGCCAGGGTTTAAATTCAGGACTGTTACACTCCCGAGGTTGGCTTTTAATCATTATGTTATACTGCCTTCCTTGCACTATAACTGTTTCACAAGTAGTTGGTGGAATGGAATTGTTGACTTTCCATTTGGAAAATGTGCTTACAAGGAGTGGGGTCGCCAATGTTCGTAACCTCACTGGTACCCTAGGAAGAGCAAAAGCCAGGGGTAGCAAACTCTTAAGTGAGTCACCTACCACAGTGGCTCCTAGGCCAGGGGGCATCTGTGTGGTTTAAAAAGATGTCCGCAAATTCTTTGCTACTCCTCATCTCCAGATGTAGAGCTTAATTCCCTCCTTTTGTGTGTGGGCTGGACTTAGTGACTTGCTTCTAACAAACAGAATGAAGCAGGAGCAGGACTGTCTGGCTCCTGGGACTAGGTCACAGTCACCGCATCTTCCTCCTGGTTCTCTCTGTCTCTTAGATCTCTCATTCTGCTTGGGGACACTCAATCAGCCCTTTAGAAATCTCCACGTGGTGAGTAACCGAGGCCTTTTGCCAACAGCTAGCCAGGAACCGGCACTCTGCCGACAGCCACGTGAGGACACTGTCTTGGAAGCGAGTCCTCCAATCAGGCCTTCAGACGCCTGCAGTCACCTGAGCCAGAACCACCCAGCTCAGCTGCTACGGAGTTCTTGGCGACAGATGATAAATGCTGGTCAGTTTAAGTTCTGTGGCACATTGTTAGACAGCCACAGCTAACTACAGCATCCGAGGGGGTGATGGACATGTAGCAAAATTCCCTTAAACTCTATCAGAACAGAAACAGGGCCCTCCCTGGACTACTAGAGGTTCCCACTGCTTCTGTTTTCAGGCTGACAAATGAAAGAGGATTCCAGGATCGCTTGATCATGTGAAAACGCTCAAGAGAAAGGACCTTGGACAGTGCAACTTCTGGGGTGGGGAGGGTACCAGCAGGTGACTGAGAACCTTGGGCTTGGTTATTGAAGTAATTAACAAGCAGAAATTAAGAGGAGGCAAAACTCTTCTCTCCTAAGGTCATGCTACTCAAAGTGTGGTTGACATGTCAGCATCATCTGGGAGCTTGTTGGAAATGGAGAATGTCAGGTCCATCCTTGACCTACTGAATGAATCATTTTAACAAGACCCCCAGCAGGTGTATATGGATTAAAGCTTAAGCATCCTTCTAACCACATAGGATGGACTTCCCTTCTCAAAACAAAGGGAAGGTGAGTATTATAGTCTGGAAGTCAGTAAGAGCTCCCCTCCTCACCTCAACCACCATCACCATCCCTGCTCAGCCCCAGTGTCTGCCAAGGAAAACTGAAGGAAAAAGAAACCACGCAGAGTGAAACATTAAAGTGGATCTAACAAATGAAGCTGGTCTTCACTGTGCTTCCCACAGTGAAATGCCACACGGGAGAAAAGGCACTGGGAGAGAGGAGGGGAGAGGGAGGGCTTCTCTGCCTCTCACTGTTCCAACTCCCACCTTCCACAGGCCTGGGCAGGATGTGGAGGCAAACCTTTCCCCTTACTCACCGATCACTCCTCCCACACCTCTCTGCTTCAGGGACAGCACGTACTGGACTGAAGGAGATACTTCAGAGGGACAATAAGGCTGGGCAGTGATTCTCAATGTGGTGGTTAGGAGAACACCCCCCTGGGGAGCATATCAGAACCTTTGTGTGTGTGGGTGCTCCTGGGCTTGAAAAAGACCCTTTGAAGTCCTCTTTGCCCAAGGAGGACACGCTTCTCCTCACACTGAGAGCTTGTCTTTGAGGCATCTTTGCTGATGGGTGCATGACAGGGCCTCAGGGGAACTGGAAAGGAAACAAGGCTTTTCACTGAGGGGCAGGGTTTCCTCAGACTTCTGGAGGTAGGACAGCTACAGGGAGGTCCGGGGAAGGCCATGGGAACATTGCCAGGCAATGGTACAGCATCTGGAGGGCAGGCCAACACCCTAAAGAAACAAACCACAGTCTTTACAGGACAAGAAGAGAGGAGCTCATGAAACAACGAACTGCCAGCTTGAAGGCAGAGAGTTGCATGAGGGTCCCCCTTTCCTTTTCTGCTCCAGGACCTCCAATCAAGCTTCCTGTTTTGTTCCTGTAAGGAGGTAACCAGTGACTCGGTCGTGAAATACACCCCACATGATTCATAGCATCCTTAGGCCTATTCTCAAGAGACGCCGGCATGTTCTCCTCTGCCACACACGGGCCTAAGGAAGACGACCTTGTTGCCCGAGGCACTGCCACCAGGGCCACTGTGTTGCCAGGCAAGGGACCAGCTATCTGGGGCCACCAAGCCCCCCCAGTTCCTGATGAGGGGGCTGGTTGGGTAACCCAACCCCAGGACCTCAGAGTAGGGGTGGGAGCCTAATTCTCTCATTTGGTAGCTGAGGAAGTAGAAGTCCAGAGATGTACAGTGATGAGGCGACACAGTGATGACCCAGGCCTGGTGCTTCTACCCCTGTGGGGGTTCAGTTCATTATCAGGTCAGAGAGGGGGTCATAAATGAAGTCAGGAGACTCTGTCATCAGGAAGAAATCCTTCTTGGAACCAAATAAGAAATTAGCAGACCAGAGTGAAGACAAGCTTGCTCCTTTAGGACACTCGTTTTGGTAAACTTTGTGCCTCTCCTTCTGGCTGCAGGAGGCTCTATCTCACCTCTGTCTTTTTTTTTTTTTTAATTGATTTTAGAGAGAGGAAGGGAGGTATATGGGACGACACTCCAACCAAATGAGTCATACCAGCCAGGGCCATACATGCTCTCTTTTAATCTTCACAACCATGAGGTGATGACTGGTTTCCATCCCTGACTCACAGAGGAGGAAACGGAATGATCAGAGACACTGTTGCTTGCCTTGTCACATAGCTAAAGAAAAACCTGGGATTTGAACCCAGGGTTTTTGAACCGTGTTTGGTTCCTTAGCCCAGGGTCAGTAAACGACAGCTTGCCACCATAGTTTCCAATGAAATAAAACACAATTTTATTGGAACACAGACATGCTCATCCCTTCGCATATCATCTGCTTTTGCTCTGTGATGGCGGAACCAGTCGCTGTGACGGAGACGGTGAGGCCCACACAGCCTAAAATACCTACCACCTGGCCTTTTACAGGAAGCATTTGTCCACCCACCTTAGCCTAAGCTGGACTCAAGTGGTATTCATCGAAGGAATAAACAACCTGAAAACTCCATTCATTCGAGCATACATTTGTTCATTCTATTAACACTGTTTTCAGCACCTGCTCCAACATGTGTCAGGCAGTTTGCTCCTTGGAAGGTGAGGACCCATTTGTATGCAGTTTCCTTCTATTACTTGATCTTTCCAAAGAGCTCATACACCTGCAGCCCCTGTTAAAGGCTACATCTGGTGCCTAATCCCCATTTTCTCTGCCTTGTCTCCAGCTCAGACAGGAAAATCTATTTATTACTTTAAAAAATGACAAAAGAGATTAATCAGGATTTGGCAACTAAATTTATCATCTGGGAAGAGTCCAAGAGATAAACTGAAGCCCAGTTCTTTACTCCCCACTGCATCCCCTCCTCTCAGCACGGCTCTATGGGAATGGCTGAGCTGGTGGTGAAATTTAGGACCAATATTGCTAGGAAAATACACACTGACAGCTAAATTAGTTTGGCAGGAAAATGGTGTGGCGGGCTCTAAGCCAGGAGTGAATTATGGGGACTGAGTAAGGCTGGGGTAGGTACCTGCTCTTTTAAGATCAGCAGGGATGTGAACGAGGAGAAAGATGCAGTGAATTCTAAGGCCTCCACTGAAGGCCTCGGGGAGGGGGAGGCAGGACGACTCCACATCAGGCCCTGCACCCTGTAACTCACACTCCTGACAGGCCTGGAAACTGCATTCCAGGAAGGCAGGCCGGTGGGACAGAGAGCGGGGGAAGGAGTCGAGGATGGTCAGCACCAATGCATGCAGATGGGGGAGGAGCTCACACGCCTGTCAGTGTCCTTGAATCTGCTGACCCGTGGAGAGGCCTGGCCCTGTTCCCCCTGCTGCGCCGCCCAGGACTTGGCTGATTACCCGAAATGGCTTTCTCTCTGAATTCTCAAAAGTTAGCTGCGTAAGTGTTAGGACTCTTGTGGCAGGGAAAGGAGACAGAAGAGGTGAGGGGATTATCAGAAAAGAAGTGCCTTTCTCCTAAACAAAGGAGAAAAGCCAGAGCTAACTGTACTTGTGACCCATAAGCAGAGCCTTTGGGGTCCATGGACCATGTAATCACTCTGGCAGGAAACAGATATCGAGCCTTTGCTCAGTGCAAGGCTCACGGAGGGGCAGGGTGAGGGGAGAGTATTAAGTACAAGACTTTACATAGTGGTTAATCCTCCCAACAATTCCATGAGGTAGCTATTAGTATGCTTGTTTTATAAATGAGGAATCTGAAGGTCAGAGAGGTTAAATATCTTATGTGCAGGGCCACAAAATTAAGAATTGACAAATAGGATCTGAGCTCGCAGATCTATGCTGCTTCTTGGGTGGTAGGGTCTGTACATTAATATTATACAGTGACATTTGATTTAGAAAAGTGTTAAGAGCTTCTCCTAAGGGCCAAGATCACCATCTTTTTTTATCCTTTAATCAAGTCAGAAAGCCACGTGCCGGGATGCTCTCACTGGGTTGTATTAGACCCATCCCTCTCATCCACCACTGGTCAGTGAGGTGCAGACCAGGCGGTCCTGATGTGTGCTGTTAGGAGGTAGGTGCTAGGCTCTCAGCAAAGATGTGACATGTGGACAGGAGGGTGGACTTTTGGAGTCTGCCCTGGTGTCATCACCTCTTTCAAGGGAGGGGAGGGGACAGATACGCTCAGAGCTAAGGCAAACACTCTAGAGATCATGAGCTAGGCAGGCTAGTGCTTTGCCAAAACTCCTCCTTGTTTACTTATTAAACATAGTAATGCTGCCCTCACTGTTCTACCTAGAGCTACAGAATTGCTTATTAATTTGGATGAGCTTGGTTTTTAGAAGCCAAGTGGAAGCCACATCTACTTCCCTGTGGATGAGCAGAACCTGTAGTTTTTATGTCCAGTAAGAAACATGAGGTTTGATTCCAACTACACACCTCACTGCCCCTGTGTTTCAAAGTAGGTGGGTGCTCGCTGCTCCCTGCACCTGGAGCAGACAGCCCCCCAATCCTGAGCAGATCAGAGACTGCCCTCACCTCCCGCAGGCCATCTGAAGAAGCCGCTGTCCCTCCCTGTCCCACTCCTGGCTTCCTGTGCACCACTTGTTCCCGTTTCTTGCCCACTTCTCTCTCCGTTTCCTCATTTTCCTTCTCAGAGAAACTTTTGCTCCTCTTACTGGATGTAAAGGTAGCAGCATCCTCTTCAGAATGTGAAGTGAAAATAATTCCATATTCTTCCTTCCTTCTTTCCTTTGGTTTTGGATTTTCTCAAGCTGTTCAGGATCTAGAAGTAAATCTCAAAGCCTTACAGGACAAACAGTCTACATGGCTGGTAATGGCCTCACCCTGATCTTCGCTGTCTCTAAGGTTTTGTGGAGGGGGTGGGGCTGGCAGAGCAGCTTCCTCCTCGGCTCTAGGATTCCCTGACATGACCCCTGCACCTGTGCTCACCCCCCCACAAGGTAACATCAAGGTTTTGCTTATGTCAACATTAGATCTTTCTAATATACAAACTAAGGATCTCTGTTACATAGAGTTCCTAAATCTCCGAGGCATGCTTTTGGGGTGAATTTGGCTCAGAGATACAAAACCTTGCCTCTTAGAGAATGGTTGTGGGCACAGAGGTTCTTTTTTTTTAATTTAATTTTTTTATCCTCACCCGAGGACATTTTTCCATTTTTTTGTTCAGACAGAGCGGGAGGGGGAGAGAGAGAGAGAGAGAAACATCGATGTGAAAGGGACACATCGAGTGGCTGCCACCCGCACGACCAACCAGGGCCGGGGACAAACTGCAACCGAGGTACGTGCCCTTAGCGGGAACTGAACCCAGTTCTCTCTGGACCGCAGGCCAACGCTCCAACCGCTGAGCCAAACTGGCCAGGGCCAGAGGTTCTTTCTCATCCTCAAGAGGTGCTGGATGAGACAGGATCCATCCCTGCAGCTGTCTGTTCGCCACAGAACACAGTGCCCACGATGAAGCGTTTATCGGGGACCTGACCCATCAGCACACTGGCGTTTACCCAACTCAGTATTTCCTGGCTGTTTTTCAAGGTCATGCTCTGGTATTTCCCAAGTACACTAGGCCACTGAAATCTATTTTAATCCCTGTAAAAAGAAGCAACACAGCCCTCCCCTAAAACGTCTGCAGTGGCCACATCACAGGTAAAAGAAAAACACGCATTCGATGAATTAGTTACTCCAGCTCCCTCTGAGGAGGACCAGTTCAAGATGAAGTATGCACACCTCTTGATGAAAGAAGCTCACTCTGTTCCAATTCTACTGAGGGGTGAGCAGAGAAAGCATGTGGGAATGAAAGACAGAAGAAGTAAGGTTATATTTAGGAAGAATTCCTTGCCTGCGAGAAGTAGGAGTTTCCAAAGTAGAGGATCTGAGAGGTTCTAGTCCCTCTCTCCCATCCTCTCCAACAGGTCTTAGCGGCTGGGGGATGTGTTTAGTCTCACCTGGTTATTTCTTCTTTCAGGGCAGCAGGGTCTGCAGGGTAAAACTTCACACGGAAACACATGGTGAATGGAGGCTGGGCTGCAGAGAAAGAGGAGTGCCCATCAGGGAAGACCCTCTGGCCCAGACGTGCCTGGTTCCCCTCCCCGCCAGGATGCATGGGCCTCTGAACCCTCAGATGAAAATCCTCAGATGTTTATGGCAACTTACACTCAAAACAGTGGGAAATTACCAAGACTTACTACAAGGGGGAGGTTTCACCCCGCCCTCCCCAGGGGTAGGGCTTGAGTCTTTTCTTGGAGAATACTTACATCTCAACTGCTTCACCACAGACTTTGTAAACTCCAACCAATGCTGAAACAGAGAACACAGAACAAGAAAATCCTAATGAGAAACAGTGTCAAATATAACTTGTCTCACCCATTTTAAGTAACCAGACAGATTGTAGCCCAGGGTGAAAGCAGCCCAAAAGCTTGTGATGTGTAGGCTTGGACAGCAAAGAGGGATATTTTCTGAAAAGTTCCCCAGGGAACCAGCTGTGAAGGGGAAAGAGTTCCAGCTTCAGGTGCCACTTCTGGGCTTCTTGGCAAGGCCACCTTCCACAGCGGGGGCCAATGCTTGGAGCCATTCCTGGACACCAGCAGGCACGTATGTGTGATGAGGACCAAGCCCCACCTGGCTCGAGTAGGGAACTACTGACTTCAATAGGTTGTATGTGTTTGTGCTACATGCCAACGTTTCTTTGGCAGGGGGACAGAGGCTATCAGTAGCAGCTCTAGAAAGCGCTGACGGAATTTCATAAACGGTGAGAAGGCGGGGATGGCTGGTGTCTATCCCATCTTTGTTGGAGTAACACAGATTGCCAAACTCTGTGGGAGATACTGATTGGGATTTCTTGGAGTCCAGGGATGTATCAAGTCTGTCTCGTAGATAACTAACCACAAGCCATGTGTAGAATTGTATCCTGTGTCCCTTGGAGTTTCATGGAGGCAGGACATAGTAGCAATGCACTGTTTCCCACGGTACTTATGTTTGGGGAAGGAAGCAATGAGACCATTCTGTATCTGTTTCCCAGGTCTACATGGATGCTTTATTGATGTTTGCTGCTTTTATACTAATCAGGAACCTTGGCAATTTGCAGAGAGCTAGAACTACTGTTATTTGTGTTTGGTTATCCGGAGTATCTTAAAACCATTAGTCATAAGCTCTGTGAGGGCAGAAAACTGTCTTGTTTACACTGTTACACTGTATTGCCCATGCCCAGCACAGTAGTCCATATGCAGATGTCAAAGGGACAAAGGGACAAAGGCACTGGGTCCACACCTCCCTCTTTTCTGGCTACTTCCATTTAGTGTAACGTCTTGGCAGAGTCCTCCCTTTGCAGGAAAACAGCCAGGGCCATGCAGACGGCATCCTGGCCTCCCTTGATTCCCAGCTCTCACCTTCTGAGCTGAGCCATGGGTCATGCAGCTAATGGATCCACTAAGAGCCAGTTCTCTCGTCAGCTCCACATAGATAATCTGGGCTGACATTTTGCTCTCTTGCTTCCTTTGATCTGAAGTCCCGTGAGGCTGGCAACTCATTATAGCCACTCAATGTGGTTAAGAGGTCCTTCTCACATTACACAGCCCACCACGGCCCAGCCTTACAGGAAAGCAAAGGCAAGAGATGAAATTGCATGGAAATAACTGGGTTTCCAGGCCGTGTGGGTGAAGGTGGAGGAGGCCCGTTGGTTCAGAGCTCGCTGGAATTTTGTACAGGGCGAAGAACGCGGCCGGTGTCTGGGAGTCAGTAAACAGAGCATCCCTAGCCATTCCACTGTCAGATTAAAATAAATAAATAAAGAAAGAAAGTTAGAAACTAAGCAGAATGACTTGTGAGATCATTATCAGAAGGTAGATGGAGCCGAAGGACAAAAAGGCTATTCCCCTTGGCAGGAAGCGGGCGAGAGGCCTTTAGTTTGTACTGAGTGAGAGTTGAAGAAAGGAGTGAACTGCAGGAGATTAGGAGTGGAGTGGGGAGGGTGTGGAAAGTGGTCATAGCTTGTCCAAGAGATTTTAAGGGTCTGGTAGAGAAATATTGAAGGGATCCCAAGAATACGGTGATGGCCAAAGTTACCTTTTGCATCTGTCTAGCGAAATCTGGGTCCCTGAATCACTAGCCAACTGATAACATGGGTTTAGGAAAGTGGGGTCAGGAGAAGGGGAAAAGACTCAGAGAGGGGAGTCTGCTCCTGTCTTGGGGTGAATGGACCAATGTGGCAGAATATTCAGATTCTAGAGCAGCGGTTCTCAACCTGTGGGTTGTGACCCCTTTGGGGGTCAAACGACCCTTTCACAGGGGTCGCCTAAGACCATCTGAAAACACATAGACACCGCTCCTCTGTCTGTCTCCAGGCGGGTCCGCCCACATGCAGATACGCCCACATGCAACATGAGGAACTGGATTAAAGGGTCGCTGCATGAGGAAGGTTGAGAACCACTGCTCTAGAGGCTTGAAAGGGTACCTCCACCTTGAAAAGAGAGGCTGAGAGCAGGCTGAGGCCCTGGGTGTGAGGCAGGAACGGGAGAGGGTGACGTGAGCGCAGCTCCTCTGAGAGGGGTCAGGAGAGTTCCCAGGCCCCACAGAGACTCCTGCAGAGTGATGAGATGGATGTGGGCACTGGGTTCAGACTGCCCCAGGGGGGAGGTTTATTTTAAAGCCTCACACTCCAGGAGAGCTGGGATTTTACTTCCCTCACCTCTACTCCAAACAGTCCTAGGATGACAATTCCCCACAACTCTCAAGAACTCTCTCGAGCCTCCCTGCTCTCCTTAATCCCTCAATAAAGGCCAAGGACATTTAGAGCCTCTCAGGTATGGATTCAACATGGAACCTTAGAAGTCACACAGGCTCTGGGTCAGACAGGTCTGAGGTGGAGACAGGCTTTGCCACCTGCCTTGGGCAAGTACTCAATCTGCCTGGGACTGTACTAATCCGAGTTGGATAATATAACTGTGGATACTCGTCTCATTGTGGCAAGAATTAAATAATATGTGCGAAGCTCACAGCTCAGTGCCTGATACAACTCGATGCTCAGTGCCCAACAGCTGAGAGATTGTGCTTTGTGCTCAGTGCAGAGCCCGGCACACAGTAGCCACTCCACAAAAGTTTATTTCTCCCTTGCCCATTTCCTTATCTTTCTCTGCCTCCGCCTTCTTTTTTTTTTTTTAATCCTCACCCAAGGATATTCTTCCAATGCTTTTCAGATAGAGTGAGAGGGAGGGAGAGAGAAAGAGAGAAACATCAATGTGGGAGAGACACATCGACTGGCTGCCAACCACACGACCCTGACCAGGGCCAGGTATCGAACCGCAAATGAGGTACATGTCTTTGACCAGAATCAAATCTTCAACCCTTTGATCTGTGGGCTGATGCTCTAACCGCTGAGCAAAACCATCCAGGGCTCCCTTCTTTTAATCCTCATTACCTCCACATACTCTTATTCTCCTCAAACACATTCTGACCTAACGTAAAAATAATGAATAGGCCCGGCTGGTTTGGCTCAGCGGTTAGAGCATCGACCCACGGACAAGAGAGTCCTGGGTTCGGTTTCTGCTAAGGGCACATACCCCAGTTGCAGTTTTTCCCCACCCTGGTTGGGGTTGTGTGGGTAGCAACCAGTCGATGCGTCTCTCTCACATCGATGTTTCTCTCTCTCTCTTCCTCTCTCCCTCCTGCTTTATCTGAAGATAAATGCAAAAATGTCCTCGGGTAAGGATGGAAAAAAATAAATAAATAAAGAAAAATAAATAAATAAAAAGAACAGGATACATTGTGCCCTTTTTTCTTCATATGCTGTTCTCTAACTGGCCTTCTTTCTCAAGGAGAGACAGCTCAGGTCAAAAGAATAAACAAACAACAAAACGCCCCTTTGTAAAACTAGACCATTATCATACAGTGAACGAGACCTCACAGCTGCTTGGTGGTGTGGCACTTTCCAGAGTCTTAGCGGCTGTCCCTAGCCCTGGACCACAGTGCAAGATTCTGCAGGGGTGGGAAACATTTTTTTCTGCCAAGGGCCATTTGGATATTTATAACATTATTCGTGAGCCATACAAAATTATCAACTTAAAAATTAGCCTGCTATATTTGCTCAGGCTAATTTGGTGAGGTGCATCATGTTAGCTGGTATTGATTTCGTGGCCTTATACAGCCCGCAGGCCAGATGTTCCCTACTCCCGCTAGGGTGAGGGGCTGACCTCAACATACTTTCCAAACACTGATGCTCAAAATTCTGCTGAGCCAGGAGTAAGGAAACAAAGTGGGACAGGGCTTGTGAGAGTAAGGGATACATATTATTTCCTACAGCTCACATGTTTAACATAAAACCCTACATGTGACCTGGAGACACAATGGCTCACAATAGCAATTTTCAGCTGGTGTGCCACAAGGATTTTTAAAATATGCAGTACCTGACTATTCAGTCAGGGGCACTGATCTCTTTTCCCTTAGATTGTCTAAAAAAAAAAAAAAAACCAACAGCCAACCCAACAATAGCCGTGTGGTGTGAATTAATCAAAATTATAACTTGGATTTCCAAAATGGTGGCAGAGTGAATGGAAGCTACACAGACCATTTCCCAGGACCAAACTGGAATTACAACTAAAATAAAGACAAATTGTCGGGAAAAAGCAACAGAAAAGCAGCTGGAGAGGACCATATAACCAGGGACAGGAAAAAAGGACCCTGAATTGAGCCTGGAAGGGCTGCAGGGGTGTGAGAAGGTGGGCTGGGAGCCCATGGACAGCAGCTATTTTAGCTGTGAACAGCTCTCTCAGGGTTAAAATCCTAATCTGGCTCCATAGTGCAGAGGGCCTGGACAGAGCACTAACTTAGCTACAGCCACTCACCTTGGGCTCCGGCAGAGGGAGGGAAGATTGGACTGGAACTCTTTGGGGACACCTGGAATTTAGAGGGTGCTCAGAATTGCTTAGTTGCGGCCATATAGGGTGGTGGCCATCTTGCTCCTTCCTGGAGCTCTGGGAAGAAGCAGCAGCTCCTCCCTCAGAGATTTAACTCCACCCAGCTGGGCCAGAGAAATTCAAATTGAAGCTCATTAACAACCAGCATCGGCCCCACCCTCTAGAAATCCTCTTACACTAAACACCTTAGGAAGTTTTTCATGCAACTGAGGGCTACAACTCAAGGTTCATCAAGTAACTGAAACTAATAGCCTCCAGGCAAAAAGCCGAAGGATAACAGCCTTTCCTGGGCTTGCAAATCTACCCAGGACAGTAAGACTTGACAGTGGTATTGAACGTGGATCCTCCCACATTCATCCAAACCCAGTAAAGGGAATCACAAATAGCAGA